CCTCCCAAAGGCGCGGGATTACAGGCTGAGCCACCGAGCCCGGCTTGATTTTATTGTAGAGTTGAGGTCTCACCAGATTGTCCAGGCTAGTCTCAAACTTCTGAACTCAGGCAATTCTCTTGCCTTGGCTTCCCAAAGTGCTAGGATTATGGGTGTGCATCACTACTCCTGGCCTCTAAAATAATTTTTAAAAAAATTAATAGGGCAACCCCTTCAGGTCTCCTTCCACCGTGGGAGCTTCTCTGTCCTCTCAATAAATCCTGCTTTCTCACTTCCCCCCCCACCAAAAAAAAAATTAATCAGATGTGGTGGTGTGTTCCTGAAGTCTCAACTACCTGGGAGGCTGAGGCAGAAGGATCACGTGAGCCCAGGAGGTTTAGGCTGTGGTCAACCCTGAGCGTGCCACTGGAGCCTGGATGACACAGTGCATCCCAGAGTCAAAATAAAAATAAAGACAAAAAGAAAGAAATGGATGCTTAGATCATTATATTTGTCAGTTATAATTTATATCAATTTTCCATCATTGATTTAGACTGAATTTTGGAGAGTGCACCTGTAGTCCCAAGCTACCCAGCAGGTTGAGGCTGCAGAGAGCTGCAAGTGTGACACTGGCAAGTGTGACACTACTCCAGCCTGGGCCACAGAGTGAGACCCTGGCTCAAAAAAAAAAGGAAGCGCTCTTGTCCATAATAAAGAAAGCTGGAGTCATTATGTGATAAATTTAACCTGTAAGGCACATCTCATTGGAAATCAAAATGAATTAGAAGAAATGTACCAGTACAGCTTATGGGACAGTGGTTAAATACAAGTCGGCACTAGGAATTGGATCAGTTTTTCTTTTTCTGTGTTAGGGAAATATAGACTTATTTCTCTTTTTTTGTTACATAAAAAAATCTTAGAGAGTGCTTTTTTGTGTCTTTTAAAATTGTAATACAATTTACTATTGTAACCATTTTTTTTCAGTTGGAGTCTCTGTCTCCCAGGCTGTAGTACAGCGGCAAGCTCAGGGCCACTGCAGCTTCAACCTGCTGGGCTCCGGCGATCCTTCTGCCTCAGCCTTCCAAGTAGCTGAAACTATAGGCATGTGCCACCATGCCCGGTTAATTTTTTGATTTATTTTATTTTATTTTATTTTTTTGAGTTGTAGTCTCACTCTGTCGTCCAGACTGGAGTGCAGTGGCCGCTCCCGGCCACTGCAGCCTCAACCTGCTGGGCTCCGGCGATCCTTTCACCTCAGCCTTCCGAGTAGCCGGAATTACAGGCGTGTGCTACCACACCCGGCTGATTATTTGATTTATTGTAGAGATGAGGTCTTGCTGCCTAGGTGGATCTCGAACCTGCGGGCTCAGGCAATCCACTCACCTCAGTCTCCCAAAGGCGCGGGATTAGAGGCTGAGCCACCGAGCCCGGCTTGATTTATTGTAGAGTTGAAGGCTTGTCAATTTGCACAGGCTGGTCTCGAACCCGTGGACTCAGGAATCCTTTCACCTCGGCCTCCCAAATTGCTGGGATTATAGGTGTGAGTCACCGCACCTAGCCTATAATCATTTTTTTTTTTTTTTTTTTGAGTTGGAGTCTCACTCTGTCGCCCAGACTGGAGTGCAGTGGCCGCTCCTGGCCACCGCAGCCTCGACCTGCTGGACTCCGGTGAGCCTTCTGCCTCAGCCTTCCGAGTAGCCGGAATTACAGACATGCGCTACCACGCCCGGCTGATTTTTTGATTTATTGTAGAGATGAGGTCTTGCTGCCCAGGCGGGTCTCGAACCCGCGGGCTCAGGCAATCTGCTCACCTCAGCCTCCCAAAGGCACGGGATTACAGGCTGAGCCACCGAGCCCGGCTGCCTATAATCATTTTTAAGCATCCAATTCACTGGCATTAATTCACAATTTTGTGAAACCATCCCCACTTTAGGAAGTTTACAATCCTTCAGATTAGACAAATAATAATATAATACAATAATACAATACAAATAATAACATTATTAAATGGGTCTGTATCTTCTGATAGAAATGGAAAATTGAAAGGGAACAATACATTTAAAATCTGAGCCGGGCTCGGTGGCTCAGCCTGTAATCCCGCGCCTTTGGGAAGCTGAGGTGAGTGGACTGCATGAGCCGCGGGTTCGAGACCCGCCTGGGCAGCGAGACCTCATTTCTACAATAAATCAAAAAATCAGCCAGGCGTGGTAGCGCACACCTGTAGTTCCGGCTACTTGGAAGGCTGAGGCAGAAGGATCGCCGGAGCCCAGCAAGTCGAGGCTGCAGTGGTCAGAAGCGGCCACTGCACTCCAGTCTGGGCGACAGAGTGAGACTCTAATTAAAAAAAAAAAAAAATTTAAATCTGGACACATCATTAGTGACTCATCATTTAGTGACTAAATGTGGCTAGAAACATACCTTGTAAGAGTCCAGGACCTGTGGCTCAGGTCTGTAATCCCAGCACTATGGGAGGCTGGGGCAGGAGGATCGCTTGAGCTCAGAAGTTCGAGACCAGCCTGGGCAACAGAACAAGACCTTGCCTCTACGAAAAGAAAAAAAAAAGAAAGAAAAAAAATATTAGCTGGGAGTCTTGGGGCACACCTGTAGTCCCAAGCTTCTCAGCAGGTTGAGGCTGCGGAGAGCTGCTAGTGTTACACTGTACTCCAGCCTGGGCTACAGAGTGAGACTCTGATTTAAAAAAAAAAGAAGGAAAAAAAAAAAAAAGGAAGCGCTCACGTCCATGATAGAGAAGGTTGGAGTCACTAAATTATAATTACAATAAGCAGAAACTGATGTTCAGTGAAGAACTCAGTGAAGAGAAGGCAGAGCTGATTTGGCAGGAGATACGAGCACATCCAGAGGTTCCGAAGATTGGTTCCGGGAAGAGGGTGCATGTTAGGGAAGCCAGAAGGCAGCCCGATGGGCAGGTACAAGATAATTGGCAATACAGATCAGTGTACGACGGAGAGCGTAAGATAGTTTTTGAGGCATCTTTTTGCTGGCCACCCTTCCCTTCTTCCGTCTGAACAGAAGGGGCCTGAAAAAGGACCCCGCCGCAGGAACGTGGGGTGAGGCTGAATGGGGAGTTCGAGTGATACCCCACTTCAGCACCCCGGCCCCGCCCCCGA